AGACTTCATCCTGACACCCTGCACAGCTGCTGCCAATCAGTGTTGACAATACTGAGCTATTTGGAGCAGCTGCATTCTGTGTTTCGTAGCGGAGTCAACAGCCCCTTCCCCAAGCTGCAGAGTGTGTCAAGGTGCAGTTTTCAGCACCAATCTGCTGGGCAGAGAGTAGGGATCACCATGAACCAGGAGGAGGGGGGAGGTCTATGTGTCTCTGTGTGAGAAATGAAGTAGGGGAAGTGCTTTCATGGGAGAGGAGGGGAAGTCCAGACACTTCCCACCACTGGCTGTGACCCAGCCCACAGCCACATGCAGCCTTGAGGCAAAATGGTTGCCTGCCCCTGAGATTATATCAGCCCCTGAAAGAATGGGAACAAGTAGGGAGGGACTCTGAGAAATGTCACCAGTCATATCAGGACTCTGTTTAGGAGATGCTCCGTAGGATATCTGAAATTCTGCAGATAGGAAAAACTTACAAATTCACTTTGAATTTTGCTTCAAGCAGAATTCAGTGGACATCTAAGGATGCACAAAATACTCCTGAGAAATTTGGCCAGTAAGATTTTTTTAACCCTTTTAGCTTTATTGGAATTCCTCCCATGTTTTGCCTAAGCAGCATATCTTACTTGAGCAGAAAAAAAGGACAACCCAAGATCAGTCAGGGAATTTATGACTTAGTGGAAAGGGGAAAGAATATGTATGCACCTGGGCATGAAGGAGCCAGATGTGGGGAATTCCACAACTTAAGGGCTGCCACAGAGAAGGCCCTCTCCTGGGCCCCCATCCCTGAGCTTCTGAGGGTGGTGGAACAACCAGGCTTGGCACTCAAGAGTGTCTGTAGGGAAGGAGGCAGGCTTTCAGGTATTTGGAGCCTGAGTCATTTAGGGTTTTAAACGCCAATGTGAGAACATTGCAAAAATCCAATCTGGAAGTCACCAAAGCATGGAGTACAGTGGCCAAATCATCTATGTTCCAAAGAACCAGCCAAAGCTGAAAAAGACTTTCCTGGTCCCCCAGGCCACCTGAGCTTCCAGTGACAGTGTTGAATCCAGGAGCACCCCCAAACTGCATAGCAGCTGCTTCCAGGGGAGTGCAACCCCATCCAAGGCTGGCCACCTGCCCACCTCCTGGGTGTGAGAGCTCAGGACACATAACACCGTTGCATTTTCAGGATTCAGCTTCTGTTTATTGGCCCACATCCAGCCCATCACCACCTTCAAGCCCTTCAACTGCCCTTCCTGATTCAGTTTGAACAAAGAGAAAGAGAGAGTTGGGTACCGTTGGCATATTGGTGGCACTTCACTCCAAAACTACTGATGACATCTCCCAGAGGATCCTAGATGATCCTCAGGGCTCCTTCCAACTCGACAATTCTATGACTCTAGGAGGCTTTATATATGTCTTAAATAGCACGTATATGAATTGTCACCACCTTCTTGAGGATTTGCCTCTAAAAAGGATATTTGACACTTGGGCGATAGTTGTCCCAAGTGGGTCCAGGAAGGTATTCTTGAGGAAATACCTCTCCTTTATTGTGAAACATTAATCAGTCTCTGGACCTACCCAGTCAACGCCCCATGGCTAGCTCTAAGAAGCCAAGGTGGGCAAGGGTCAAGGTGGGCAAGTGGTTGGCTGCACTTCTTCAAGCAGTTTGTCCACGTCCTCAGGCTGCAGTCATTTAAACTGATCCCGTACAGGTGGAGTAGACAGTGCTCTAGACACCTCAGGTGCAGTAAAATTCTAAAGCATTTCTTCTGACTGAGTTCAACTCTCACTTAATAGAAGTCGAGTGGCCAGGAGCCAAGAATCACTTTCTTCTCTAGTTGGGCTGAAACATATTTGCTCCTAAAGATTCACCTCTGCAGATCTTGATGGTGAATAGTCACTGGATATTTTCCTAGTATCCACATGTTGACATTTATAGTTTAGAATGATTAATTGAGCAGGCTTCTCAACAAACTCACCCTGTGTTTGAGGTCCTCTCTGAAGGGCCATGCCTGAGGGCTGATACTTTCCAATGGCATCAATGAGTAGCCCTGCAGAGGTAGTCTCCCCTCTGCCCCTGGAAACCAGCACAGAAGTGGAGCAGAGGACAGCATTTGGCGGAAGAGTCAGGGCTGCCCCTCCCACCCCCTTCCTCCCTCGTGCAGCTGGCAGAGGAGTTGGGAGTTCTTGCACCCAAAACAAACACATTCAGTACGAACCGACAATTATAGATCTGAATGGAGCACAACAATCACACAAAACAGTGGTAAGAAACAATTGAGAGAAATGACCCAAACAAAGATGACATTCAGCAGACAAAAAAGCTGCTTAGTTGGTTGTCTGCTCATGTAGCTCCCTGCAATCAACAAGAGCTTGATCAAGAACAAGAGGCTTATGTAAAATAAATCTTGCCATGGTGGGGAAGCTTCAGCCTGGAGGCCAAATGCACCCCTAAGGCCTCACCCTTGAAGTCTCCTCTATTCCGGTCAACATGGCAGCCTCAGCAGCACTGCTGTGTGCGCTCCATGAGTTGTTTTTTTTCCTGGCTGGAAGTGGGAATGTCTCTTGCTTGCCTAAATGGAGGACCGTGTGAGGGTGTAGAAACGTCTGATGTTTTTCTACCTGGAATGTTGCCTGTTGCACAAGGTTAAGTGTCATGCCCGTTTTTCTGCCCGCTTTTGTGGCAGGACACAGGCACCATTGGCATGCAGCCCATGAGTCCTGCCCCTGGCCTGCGTACGAAGTAGCCTGCCGGCTTGTCCACTGCCTGCACATGCACAGTTTCTTCCTTCCTAGAGAAGGAATTCTTGAGGACGTTGCCCTTGATTCACAATGCATCCCAACATTATGTACTAGATAAATCCATATTTGGAATTACAAATTTTAACACCACCAACAACTGGGTGCAGAATTTCACTTCCTCAACTTTCTTTCTGCCTTTCATGGCATATCTGTAGCCTATATGGCAGGTAAGATAAGTTTGAAAGTGTGTCCCAAAAGCCAGAGAGATGAATAGGGCACGGTTGTGGCCAGCTCCTGGGCTCAACCCCCTGGCCAGCAAAACCAGAGGAAAGAGTGCAGAATACTAAATACTGCAGAGCTAAGTGAAATGTGCATGGTTTGTAAACTACTGAACTCACATTTTCTTGGCTCAGAATTTGGATTGTTTGTGTCCAGACTTTAAAAAATGTTTTAGTGAGAGAATTTAGAAATGGACCAAAATGGCTGGACCCCCAATCTGATTTGTAGGTGGCTATTGGGGGGGGGGGACTTTCCATAGCATGGGACCAGTTTAAAGTTTCAGGTAGGCTTACTTGATGCACAGTAAGTCTCACTCTGCTTCATTAACTGAATAGATGTTTGCTGAAAAGCCAAAATCAGAATTATGCCATATAGGTCAAGAGTTGCTTGTCTGATAAAAATTGCAGATAGTTGGAAGGGAAGGACGGAGGGAGGGATGGAGGGGAAGCACATTGCTAACCTGGAATAACTTGTAGTTTCTAGTTAGGCCACCTTGTTACTATTTTGAAGAGTCAATTTGAGAAGCTTTGCTCTTTCTGAATCTCAGCAGGGACAAACACACATGAAAACCGGAGGAGAAAACCGGAGGAGAGGGCAGGTTGTGATGACTGGCAAGACAGGACATTTGGTAAACGTGGATCTAGCACAATAAAATGATTGACAGTGCCACCACAAAGAGAATGAATGATAGCTCTGAAGTTGGTATATGGGTTTTTTAAATAAAATAAAATAAACTTGAAATATACTCGGAGTCGAGTGTGGATTTCATGATCTTTATTCAGCTGGAAGTTCCCCCAAACTGTCTGCTTTATATACATTATTTACACAATGGGCCACAGGTGATTGGCTAATTCCGGGATTCTCCTGTAGGCCAATCAGGTTGCGGATTCACTTCCATCTGGAGCTGGATTGGGTGGCTCCTCCGGACCAATCAGACTTCTGCATTCTGGATCCTATTGTTCTAGGACCAATCAGACTGCTGTATTTTGGATCCTATTCAACTCAGTACATAACAAAACTTTTAAAGGGTCTTAGCTTGAGAAGGTGTCTTATCTCTGCTGCCCGGACCTCAGCAGAGCTGGGCAGGAACCCCCACTTCAAAGTGAGATTCAGCTGAAATCTTAAGGTGAATGTAGCCTTATGCTTTAGCTCTTTCTTCTGTCATATGGTACCTTGTTAGCACTCTACATGCTGCAGACTGAATGTTTGTCCCTGCATACCTAGAATACCTGCTTGGTGGTTAGGGGGTTTAATTTGGCTCTATTGGGCACCCCAAGGAAGAAGTTGTTTTCCTTCCTTCCTATACTACTTAAAAGCTGGTGTCTCTGCTGGCAGCTTCAGCCGTGCAGCAGTAGGGGCAGAGCCCTCAAAGCTGCCAGCCTTCATTCCCAGCAGCAAACTGCAAAACAGGGCAAAAGAAGCCACTAGGAAGGATGGTGCTAGTGTGCCCACATGGACAGTAACAATTGTCAGAGAGCCACCCTTGCTTCTGGACTGCTGAAACTCCTGGAAGAGCCAATGACTTTTAAACAGGATGGTAGAGAGGGGAGCAGACCCCCACTGCCTTGGAAGGTCTCCTCATCTTCTCCAATCTCAGGAATCGATTTGTGCCCTCCCCTGCCATTCGCCCTGTTTTCAGGCAAAAGGCAAAGTCACTAACTGTGACAACATGCAAAGTCCCCAATTAATGAAGGTTCCCTTGCAAAACATTGTGTCTGGGGAGATTTTTAACTTTGTTGAGGATGACTGTAGGGGACAGTTTCTTTGTTTGCCAAGATTTGTGTGAATTGTAGATATCTCTCATTTAAGGATGCCCAAACCTTAGAAACCTCCGTCCCCACTAAATTGGCTCAAAACCCCATTGGGTCTAGCATCTTATTTCCAATAGAAATCAGATTTTTCTAGGGCACTCACAAGTAGGGCAAGAAGGTACCACACCCACATGCCATTGCCATTTATGCTGTTTCTGAACCTCAAGGTTCTGTTCAGCTGCCACAGCCTGGGATGGCTCAGTCAACAGAGAGTGAGACTCTCAATCTCAGGATCGTGGGTTTGAGCTCCAGGCTGAGCAACAGATTCCTGAATTGCAGCGGGTTAGACTAAATGATCCTTGGTGTTCCTTCCAACTCTACAATTCTATGATTCTATGGCAGATTTATCATGCTGAATCTGCATTGAAAGCTATTTTGGTCAGAAGTCGACGTCATAATCTTGTAGTACCAAATTGCACAAGTCTGCTCCACCAATGGGGCAAAGTGAGGAGATGGTCAGGTGCCAGATCCACAGGGGCAACAGATCCCCATCTTGATCTTCACTCCCCGCCTCTTCCCTGGTGGGGAAGGGCACCATTTTGTGGTTTGCCTCAGGTGCCAAAATGTCTTGGGCTCGCCCTGATAAGTCAAATAGATGTGTGAAGAAAATTGCCTCTTTTGTCTGTCCTCATCCTACTTATATAGCGAGCAAGGGACAGAAGGAGCTGCTTTCCACGTTCACTAGAATTTTTAAGGCTTCTACCAAGCTTCCTTACTTACCTATTAATCATTTTCTCAAAATAAGAGAAATGTTATTTAACTTCTCCTCCCCTATGAGGAGAAGTTAAATAACATTTAACTTCTCCTCATAGGGAAGATGAACCTCCAACCCCTTGGTCATTTTGGAGTTTTTGACCCAAAATGGAACTGAGTGTAGTTGGCAAGTATAGTTAGGATAGGCCTAAGGAGAGAACTTCAAAGTTTGAAAAGTGGGAGCCTCACTAGAGTTTGCCTGCCTGTAGGTGAACACATGGGGTTAAAATCTGTAGCAAGTTTGCTCCCTCTCTCTCTTTGCCAGCCTGATGGAAGTTACTCACAATTCGCTGGCTTTGGATTCAGCTGTGTTGCTTAATTAGCGTTCAGAATGATACATTTTTAAAGTCATTACTTACTGCACTGCATGTTCAAAGTCAAAGCATTTCCTCTGCTCCAATTCATGAGTGCGTTGATGATGCTCTCATTGCTCATCTCAGCTGCGAGCGCAGAAGGGGGAGGGAACCCACAAGAAAACACAGCTCTTAGCATCTGTGAAACACTGTACAAAAGGTACAATGTCATTTAGTCCGTTTGATGGAGATCTGGCACCATAAGTGCAGCCCACTTGGGCAAAAAAAGCTAACCTCACAACACAGACACCAAGAGTAATAAAAAAAGAGTGTTTTATATCTGGCTGGTACTCTGCTGGAGAATTGCACATTCTGCAGCCAACATACACTCTGGGATTAGAGCAAAAGCACCACTGGGTGTCTAAAGGGCAAAGCACGTGTATGCTTAATGTGTCGCTACATCTCTTGCTTTTCTCCAATTAATTGCAGACACCCCCCCCCCCCAGAGGGGAGCCCAGTGTGACTTCTTTTGAAAATCAGGGGCCCTATATTGCTATTGGGGGACACGGGTGGCACTGTGGGTTAAACCACAGAGCCTAGGACTTGCCGATCAGAAGGTCGGCAGTTCGAATCCCCGCGACGGGGTGAGCTCCCATTGCTCGGTCCCTGCTCCTGCCAACCTAGCAGTTCGAAAGCATGTCAAAGTGCAAGTAGATAAATAGGTACCACTCCGGCGGGAAGGTAAACGGCGTTTCCGTGCGCTGCTCTGGTTCGCCAGAAGCGGCTTAGTCATGCTGGCCACATGACCTGGAAGCTGTACGCCGGCTCCCTCGGCCGATAAAGCGAGATGAGCACTGCAATCCCAGAGTTGTCCGAGACTGGACCTAATGGTCAGGGGTCCCTTTACCTTTACCTTTACATTGATATGAGGCTTGGGGAGAAAGCTCACTTGGACACCAGCGTGAAGTTTCCCCCTAAACTTCACAGCCATGTTGGATGGCAGTGATGCAGAGGGAATTAATAAACCTCCTCATGTGCCATTGAAGTCCCTCAAACCTTTTAATGAAATGGAAACAAGAGATGTAGCTGCACCCTATGCATTGAGTGTACTGAGTAATTTGGTAAAAGGCATTGTTCGTTCACATGGTGGTTTTGAAGGAATGTAGCCAGTGCATATCTGGCTGTCAAAGCCCACAACCGCAGGTTTCTTTCTAGTGCTTATTTCCTGTCTCTGTGTCTTCATTATTAGCAGTGCCCCCTTATCCCACACCCTCTCCTCACCAATATTGTATTGAGGACAATGCTAGATGTTACTCTTGAATGTATGTATTAGAATTCTAGCAGCTGCTTTGTCCAGGGAAAATCAGATTTTGGCAGGGGCAGTCTTCAGCTCAGGTGTGTCAGGAGAGATACATAAGCCTTTTAACTTCCTTGTCAAACTGCTGTGGTCTGCTTGGACTTCCAGGTACATAAATGTCCATTTAGAGCTCTGGGCAGGCAGGTGGGCGACGGCTGGTTTGGAGGAGAAAATCAGCATCTGGAAGACTATCTCACAGGGTTGTTGAAGGATAAAATGGAGAGAGGGGTATGTACACCAACTTGAATTCCTCTGAGGAAAGGCTGTATACAAATGTGATAAAAAGGAACACATACATAAAGAACCAGGTTCTAACTGCACTCACTGCTTATGAAGTCCATGAGGCATAGGTCGGTCAGAAGAGAATGAGATTCTTAATTTCAGAGTTGTGAGTTCGAGCCCCTCATTGGGTGAAAAATTCTGGCATTGCAGGAGGTTGGAGTAGATGATCCTAGTGGTATCTTCCAACTCTACAATTCTATGATTCTACATCCACAGTCTACCTGGTGAATCTCATGCTATTGACCCATCTAGTCCAGGATCCTGTTCTCACAGTTGCCAACCAGATGCTTGTGGGAAACCTGCAAGCAAGACCCACACACAAGAGCAACTCTCCCCTCCTGCAGTTTCCAACAAGTGGGATCCAGAAACATCACTGCCTCTGACCATGAAGGCACCATTGTGGCTTGCAGGCACTGATAGCCTTCTCAGTGAATTCATCCTGTCCTCTTTTAAAGCCATTCAATTTGGTGGCCACTACGGGTTCCTGTGGGAGACAGTTCCATAATTTAACTGTGTGCTGTGTACTGGAAGTTAGAAACTCAGGAACAGATTTTAGATGAAGATTGGGAAAGAATCTTTCGGCAACCACCCTTTGTTGTGACCTCTAGGATAATCAAGAAACTGGGGTTGAAGTTGGTACGAAAATGGTATTATACACCTGTAAGGTTATATCATATTACAAAATCTAGAAGTAAGAATTGTTGGAGGAAATGTGGAGTGATGGGAACATACAGTCATATGTGGTGGGATTGTCTGTTAGTTAATGAATTTTGGAAACAGATTGGTATAGATATATCGGGAATTGTGGGTTGGAAGGTGGGAATATCTAAATTAATGGTTCTTATTAGTCTGAGTAGCACCGAGTTAAAAACAAAAGAGGAATGTAAATGGGTAAAATTGATGGTAACTGCAGCCAGACAGGTTATAGCGAGTAATTGGAAAAATGCAGAAGAGCTAGGGGTGAACCAATGGAGGAAAAAACTGAATAATTTTATAATTTTAGAATACCTAACTGTGAAGATACACAGAATGAAAGGGTTTAAGGTCAGTGAGAAAGAGGAGGATTGGTTTGAGAAGATATTGAATTATTTGGGTAGGTTTGAACAATTTGGGGCAATTAAAATGTTAAACGTTAAATAAACCTTGTGGATGGAGGAGTGTTAACATATATAAAATTGTACATATGGTTGATTTGAATATGTTATTATTGATTATGCATACCCAATGTATCAGCCGCCGGGGGGGTTTCGCTGTTTGTGTTTTGGTAGTTGGTAAAAAATAAACATTTTAAACATTTTAAAAAAACAACCCTGTGTGCTGTGTACAGAAGCGCTTTCTTTTATCTGTCCTGAATCATCCAATGTTTGGCTCATTGAAAGTTCACGAGTGTTACAAGAGGAGAAAAATCTTTCTCTCTCCACTTCCTCCCTGCCGTGCAACATTTTATAAACTTCTTATCATGTCACTTCCTACCTTTTCACAAAACTATATATATATATATATATATATATATATATATATATATAAAATTCCCAAATGCTGCACCCTTTACACAGAGGGGAGTCACTTTATCTGTTCGTTCATTTTGGTGGCCCTTTTCTGAACCTTTCCCATCTCTACAAATATCCTTTTAGAGGTGAGGAGATTCAAGAGACAAAAGAGATTTTCATACTCCTGAATGACTCAGTTATCAACAGGAATGAGCAAATCTGTCAGTTTTGGTTTGCCTGTTTCTCCCTTTCACCAATCTTAAATCCAGTGCTACACATTTCTATATCCGTTTGTGAATCCGTTTTTAAAAGAAGCCTCAATTATTATTTTTATTTTAAAAAATCATCACCATTTTTGTGCAAATGTCTGCTAATTACACATTTTTGTGTAATTAAATAAACACTTTTTTTGCAAAACTATTTCCCCTAACATGCATTTTGTATGTTATTTTAAAACTAACAGAAGTATTTTAATGCACACTTCACCTCTGTATAGCTTTTGTTCACATCACTTGGCTGGAGAACTGCATTGCAAAATTTGGAGAAGAGTGAATTTCAAAGAATAGCTGCTATACGGTTTTCCTATGGTGCCAGAAAGTGTAAATTAGGTAGATTCGCCTTTAAATGTGAATTGAATCAAATTTGTCCCCCATTCATAGTATCAGCATGCAAGGCTACACCAACATCATATCTGCACTGCAAAGTTCTACTGTTTTTATACAAGTTTACGGGGCATTGCTTCTTCCAAATGCTGTAGCCAGTGAAAATCAGTGTGATGTAGTGATCAGAGGCTGGGGAGACCTCTGCTCAAACCCTTGCTCATCCATAAAGCTTACTGGGTAATCTTGATGGAGCTAGTTGCCCTCTCTCAAGCAAATCTATCTCATAATTTTTTGGTAAGCATAAATGGGGAGGAGGAATTAACCCAGTCGCAAGCCAGAAATACTCAGTTTGAAATTTACAATGGGGTGGAATGGTTAAATTGTCCCACTTGGGAGCAAGATTTGTGGCAGTGAAAGCTCCTTGTTGCTGTGAAGATGTCCTCTTTTGGCACAGTAGCAGGTGGACTATGCATTCCTGGCCAA